TCCCCTCCAAGCCGCCACTGCTGGACTGCCGGCGACCATGGCTTTTATGCTTTCCCCTGTTGAGCGCTCTCCGGAGACCACCTCCATAAATTCGTTCAGAGAATCGTTTGGCAGATTTTGAATGCAGATTTGAAATCAGCATCAAAAAATACGTCTAGCAGTGTAGGCCTCATTTCAAGTGGCCACTTTGACTCGGGATCCTTCCCTTGTAAGATTCGTTCGACAGCCACTCTATGTACCAACATTTTTGCCGTCTCCTTTTTCTCTTTCTTTGCAAGTGTTCAACAAAATGTCGTTTTCACGCGAAGTGTTTCTATCTATCAACGAGAACCTTTTTTGAATAATAATGGTTTGCATTTACCAATCTTTGAGAAAAAAAGAAGAAAGGATAGAAATTAGAATAAAGAGCAGTTCAAAATGAAAACGAAGTAAAAAGTTGGAGAATTTAAAGATATAGTGTCAGGAAAGAGTAAACAAGCGGCATGCAAGCATTACGAAATCAACACACACACATACATCGACACATGCAAGCAATGGTGTCAGAGGAAGTTGAAAAAAATTGAAGCAAAAAGCTATTTCAAACCTCGCTCTCTTCACGACATCGACAACAATAAGCAAGACATGTTACAACACTCGTGAACTACACTGTGATAAATACCGCTGGACTTCATCCGTCTTCGATGAGCCTTTTGATTCACCTGAAACACAACGATGGCATTTACCATGCGGGTGCACGTTCTGTGACTACGTGCAGTGTGATTTAAGGTCGACTGCTGGACGTTAGAACTGCATAGGATCAATTAGAACATAACAACAAAATATAGACGAGATTAATTCAAAGCTTGATATTATGGGTTGGCAACACAAAGGTGCTGAGTTATGTGCAGAACGATTGACCTGAGAAGTGAATTCAACCAATCGGAAGTTGAATTCACACCTTTGCTTCCAGCCACCGAATGCAGTTAACAAAACAAAAGCGAGATAGTATTGAGAGTTGTTTTAAGAAAGATAGAATTGTGTTCACAAAACATTGTGGAGGGTTATCCCTAATATTAGCGATAGAAAACCTCAACTGTGGAAGTAGCTAATTGGGTCTGGAAATACGAGTGCTGAAATGGACCGCATGATCAAAGATGAGAACGAAAAGCAAAATATCAAGTGATTTACATCCTCGCCATTAATAGAAAAGCATTAGTCGGGAATCAATTAGTATAAAACTGTAAAGGAAAACAGAACCAAGGAAGAAAAAAAAAAGAAAAAGAAGAAAAAGAAGAGAAAGAAGGAAAAATAAGAAGAAGAAAGGGACGAAGGTGAAGAAAATAAATCGGAGAAGCACAGCAATCCAGAACATCACTGATTATCAGTTGTTTGTGAAGAAGCAGAGCTTGGGAAATCTAACTACTGTATAAAGTTTACAGCAATAAAACACTTTAGCTAGTTTTAAGCAGAATTTCGGAGAGAAGCTGGAAGAAACTAAAACGTCAAAACTAAGTGAATCCTGAAATGGAACTCTGTAGGTTAAATGAGGATGAATCAAACCAAAACAGTGGAATCTGCGTTCCGAAATATATGAAAAACCCTATCAAAAATCCAAAAATCAAAGTCAATGTTGAAACGTACCGCCAATGGAGTTTCTCTCAAATGAGAGAAACGTGAGTGTTTCAAAATGAATTCCATGTGACCAAATGTTTGCACTAATGGTATGATTTCCAAATTGTTGGTGGCAGCCAGCTGAAAACCATTCGATGTCAGAGTAGGATCATGACAATGTTTCGGGATGAGAGAATAAAGTTCTTGGAGTTAATCAATCCCTTCTTGGGGGGACACGGGCAGTAGGAACGGTTTTGTATAATCAATCCGCCGCACGCCTGTGTCGCGGACCATTTGCCTCATTACAACAGTTCTAGCGCACTTCATAGAGCTCAATCGCTATGCGATTACTACTTATGGCATGATTTTACTGTTNTTGTTTTGTTCCTGAATTTCTTACTTGCTGCTGCATTCTGCTACATTCCTTCGCGCGCTTCTCTCTCGCCGCGACGAGACAATTTCATTCCTACTGCACCACACCCCTTCTTGAGGATGGTCCGGCATCTTTCCATTTAGAAGCGTAGTAGAGTACTGGCCCGCCGTGACGATTTACAATCCAGTGTTTTTATCCTTCCAAACGAGTCTAGTACCGATTAATCGACCCTGAACAAAGGAGAGCCTAGTGGTATAGGCAGATGTCGATCGGGACCCGATTCCTCGCCCATTCGCCACCACATCACCACCACCCACATCCAGGATACTATAGGATACTAGCCATACAGTTCAATAATGACTCAAGAAAAATATTTCAAGAGAGGAGTTGTGAATCCTTGTATGGCCACCTGAAGGTACTGCACAACTGGCCATGTGACTTCCATTCCTCTTACCACTGGTTATTTCTATTAAATGCTATCCTCCATCAACCATACACTGCGCAGAAATAAGAAAAAAAAAACAAAATTAAAGAAAAGAGTAGAAAAGGAAAGAAGAAACAAACTTACCCTATTGATATCCCTAACATTCGCTTCACTATAGTGTTGTACCCTTTTCACCTGAAAAAACTATACCTTCCAGAAAGAAAGGAATGTCTTATTCCATTGTTTTCTTAGAAAGAAAAGAAGAAAAGAAGTATTTACCTTCTCCAATTCCCCTGAATAAGGGAACATATCCTCGTATTCCATTAACACTCCATGAACACCTAGACTTCTTAGGAGCGGGAAAAACCATTCATACACACTCATCAATGGTGGAGCACCTTTGAGGTCAAGATGGACTATGGCCTGCAAAAAACTTTTCCTGTATAAGAGGCAAAAAAATGCAAAGCCCAGAGTCAAAGAGCATGAATGGCGCATTTTCGGAGTTCCATACCCACAGCAAACCCCTGGGACTTTCAGAGCTATGGTCATTTTCGGTGACAACCTTGGAAAAGCCACATTCGAATCAATAAAAGCAATAAACAAATTATCAGTAAACGCAGGCAGTTTTACACGTACACTAATTTCCTCGGTAAAAAGAAGGAAGATGGTAGGAAGCTAGTGATGATAACAACAAGGTGCCGATCAGCCAGTGATTTGGAAACCACGATGCCAAGAGGAAGGATCTACTTCAGCACTGAACAGAGTCTCACTCCAACTGAGAGGGGAAGGAATGGTGAATGAAAGGTGAATCATTTGCAGGTTCAAGTACTTCGAATGTCCCTCCGATGCTATGATCCAATCGACTAAGGCGAATCCCAAAAAAAGTAACCAGCGTTCTATTTTCTGGCATCAGGTTGTGTAACTAGAAAATACGTTTTAGAGGCATTGTGAATTCGCTAACCAAACTGCCTTTCCCTAGTATAGACAGCGTTTTAGCTAACAACTACCGAGGAAGTAGAAATCCTAAGAGCTCAACAGGCAATAGAAATAGTGGATTTTCTGAATGTGGACATCTTCTCATCCCCGAGCGCTCAAAAGGTCGGCAAAAAGATGTTCTAAAAACAATGGCGATAAGAGAAGGCTCATACTTCCGATCTTCTCGCGGTACAATAGCGTAACCGATACACAATACCACAGAACCCTCTTCCGGAAAAACTTACGCCTATTCTGTGTGTTAATTTTTATTGCTATTCTGGCAAGTATGCCAAACTGTACTACTCGCCTGGATCATGGAATCTCAAAGACGGGGTAATGAGGATTAATTTCATTAGGTGAACGCAGCGGATTTCACTCTCACTGGTAATTTAAAAAATAGAATGACGAAAACGTAAAGCTATGAAACAAAGGCAACCTTTGAACCCCGTCTGTAGAGAGGAGTTAATAAGATGTTTATTTTGTGAAACTTCAAAAAGGAGCCCGAACGTTCTATAAACTACCTAAGGATTGCTAGGTTGAGGTCAAATCATTTGCATATTAATCACACTGCAACCTTAATCTACAACACTTTCTTCAAAAACTGTGTCAAAAACCAGCAGCTAACGAAATGATGTCACTCGTATGTGTAGGCGTAGTACGCGCGCGGACGCGACGCGCGTGAAATCCATGATTTCAGCTGGGGTTCATTGAGAGCCTTCAACCGCAAATAAAAACTTTAGTGTGTTCTTACCTGCGCAAACGGTTGTGGATCGAAAGGACCGCCAACTTTTTTTCGAGGCGACACTGCACTATCTGTTATATCATCCTGTCGTAGCGAGAAAATTATAAACACCAGTATACAGCTGATTGCAAACACCCATGACACCCGTCGTATTCCATGATATCTGCTCGAGGAGAGCATACGTACTCCTCGACACTTGCTGGTCACCTGTCAAAGTAAATATTCAAAGAAATATCAAGATATTAACGAGTATCCATCAAAAATACAACAAAACAAATAGAAAATGCGATCAAACGACTGAACGCTTGGCAAAATAAAACTACCGTAATAAAAGCATTTATCATTATTATGACAATACATCATCATAATGCACTCGATTGCATGGAATCACAGCATAATCAAGGGCGAACGCACCGGTGGCCCAAATCAAACAGATCTACGTCAGATAACGAACGTTCAGGGGGGACCAGCGACTATAATTTTAAAAAATGTAGCTATTAATACAATCGAGAAAAATCTTTTGATAAATTACGAGTCACATCATCATTTACTGCAAAAAGTACGAAAAGCATATACACAGAAATCAATCAATACTCAATAACAATGAGAATTCTCTGCGATTACTTAGACAACAGCATAGGAACTGACTATATTTCTCTATTTGGCTATTTTTTTAAACCGTAATCGTCCACTTACTCTTCAATAGCCACAAAAACATAACACTGAATTTAAGCACTAAATAAGTCGCTTCTCCTTTGCTACTACTTGTCGTTCTGTGCCGCGAAGTATAGACGTCAAGAGTATGGCCACTCTCGATGTCGATGCTCCTTGGCATTGTCGAGGTGCGACAAAAAGTGGAGAACACAACTCTTATCGCGAAGTATTAACAATAGAAACAAACTAGTTCAACGATTGTAATGATTCGCGCATTTATGGGTAAAAAATCGCAAGATCAGTGCGCAGATTTACCGCATGAGGTGTTTAGCGTCTTTCCGCCGCTACGCGCCCGCTCGCGTCTCAGTCAACATTTTTCGATAATTTGCAGAAATTAAAATTGATATCACTTTGGTACAGCTATAACAGCGATAGCGCAATGAAAAAATATTTTTCACCGGCACACTGAAGAGCTACAAATTTGGTGCTGTGGCATTGTACGAAAACTTTGGGTGGGCCCAGGTTACCGACGAAAAAGTAAATAAGTAGAGCGACGTCACTTTAAAAGCAAAATTACACGAGGATTAATACATTGTGGCAACATAGCATACCTGCTCTCAATCGGCAAATATTAACAGATAGTCTCTACGAGCAGAAGGAAGGGAACACGTTCGGTACGTCCACCGATGAAAATCTTGGATAGCAAGCAGGAGCAGAAAACAATCTAACGCACAACTAGCGCTATACATTTGCTCTTTAAGAAGTCATCAAGTGCTACATCCTAGAAATTTGTAAACAAACAAGTGCGGGGCAAGAATTAATTCACGTAATAGCTGGCACTGTGCCAGCTTGGGCTAGCAATACGAAAGGACCCGTAACACATACAATGACAATGAAAACACTCGCAAAAAAAGGAAGAGCTCGAGATGGATAAAAAAGAGAGAGTACAGAGTAAGGAAAAAACGTACTTCATTGAAGCATTAGATTCAGAATTGCAGCACTCACCGAGCGCAGATTGATTCCTCACAAACCTGATGTCACCACCTTCGCCGGCCGTTCTCAAGCTTCACATCTGTGAACTCTCAGTCGAACAGCTTGCCTAGTTTGTGCTTAAGTCCTTTCTTTTGCTCCACTGGTTCTTGTTCAGTTTGGCATGCGCCCAGCACTCTGATTTGTTTTCCACCCGTGCGTAGAAAAGACGGTAACAGATTTCCGGGTAGAATGTCCACACCTTCTGTCCATGTCTCACCAAGTCGTGGCTAAATTTCGAATGATAATACTGTAGCCAAAAAATAAGAACAAAACTTGGCGTAATCTGTCTCGTTTGGGGATAAGCCCCGCATGTGACTTCTATTCGGAATCGTAATGCATTTTTAATACCAATTTGGCCCAATCAATGACTTGCGGTGCGGTGTCCAGCCAATGTATAACTCAGTGCCTTTATTCTGAGAGACAAGTCTAGTACCAATCAACCTACCCCTAAGGTGTGGAAGATTTAGATGGATTGAGCGAAAAACAGATCCAGCATTTGATCTCGTGACCATGCAAGTGTGACAGTGCGCCATGTGCCACTACACCACCTCCGATGCCCGATGATATAATTCGATTAAATTTGGAAGCTAAACCTACATAACTGGGTATTTTCTGGAGAACATATCACACCCGAAAAGGGCCAACGATGAGAGCGATTGATATTTCGTTGAAAAACTCTTAATGTTAACAGCATTCATGTCCCGAAAACGATTAATCACAATCTTCAGTGCGGCCAGACGTCAAAAAACTTTGCTCGTTTTGAATATTTTTCTCAGTCACCTGCCAGATGCTAGTTAACGGCGGCACGGCATTACACCCAGCCAAGCCACCCACTTTCCGAAAACGTTTTTCCTCAAAATAAAACAGCACTACGCACTGCCAGATCTGATCCTTTAGATACGCTATAGATACGACATCAAGCAGATCCTCAGAACATTTGAACTCAAGTACCCAGAGATAAGTCAGTGTTTTTATAAATCCAGATACGGGACACCAACTCATCGACTTCATAAGAAGAACTGAGTGAATGCCTTGTTGAAACTCAGTTCCGGGCATACTCGGACCATGCTTACCGTGTCTTCCCTTGGAAGACGTCCCTAAGACACTTGCCATTGCATCAATTTAGCTCAGTTACTTACAAGTTCCTTACAGGTGTTTTTTTTTNNNTTTTTTTTTCAGAAAGAAAGATTTAGGTTGTGTTTCGGGTGAGACCTCCCTCCCAACAGCGCGCAATGTTCACCGAACGAACAAATAAAACAAATACGAGCATACAAATAAAGCATATAGAACCTATTATAAGATGACAAGTTTAGTTAAAGTATGCCGCAAAGTGCACATGAGTTTTGCATATTGAAAAACTTCTTCTCTACTTGGAACTGAAATGGAATAAGTGCCAGAAAGTTAGTTAACACTCAAAATATAGGGGTGCCGCTGAATTAGATTCCATTTCGAATCCCTTTACCTCCACTTTATCAATTCTGCCAAAGTGACCATTCTATTTGCACAATAACAGAATGAACTTAATGTCCAATTTACATGAAGCCAGTAAAGGGATGAACAGAAAGTCGAAGGAAACCCTTGAAAATCAGCCATGTTGAGTAAAACCTACAAAATTGCACTCAGTCGCCCAGGAAGTTGACTTGAAGCAAACTTTTACTACGCAGAACAACATACCTAATACAGCTGAGCCCTTCAATTTCGTACAAATTAGACCGGCTTAGAGTATAAAACCAGCGAAGAATGATCAATGAAGGCTCATACTCATACACACATACACATACAAATAAAAGTAATTTTATCCGAGTATGAGCTTTCATAGTTCCTTGCGGTTGACCAATTCTTCTTCTTCACCTTTGTTTTATATCTAACCTAGGAGTCATTTGCATTATTTTAAGTGGTCTCTTTATACGTGTACGTTTTATCTACGTGTGTTCCTTGTATTTGCTCCATTATTCAACTTAGTTCCAGAAGGTTGATATCATCTTATACTACGTTTGCCTTAACAGCGTAATAAACATAACATAACATAACATACCTACTTTCTTTGAAATGCAACTAATTTACTATACTAGTTGGTATGAAAATGAGAAAAACAGCAAAATACCCAAATGATAAGAATCTTGACGAAATCAGACGTAGAATTCCGCAACTGACTCACCCCAATTGAATTACAACTGTACACCGATACTGATGGGTACGGCAAGAAACCGGCTGCGCATGGCACGATACTGAAGGCAATTTGACCAAGGCCAGATTCTTTCACTTGAATCACTGAAAAAAGATGAGCAATTTCAGTGCAAATCGATAATCACAGAACGTCGACCTTAAACTGAGCAACTGTTTCTTTTTACAATCTTTTTTCAGCCCTTCTTTTTTTCCTAAAACACTCTTCTCCTTCACTAGCCTTACAAAATGTCTATTCGCTACATTTTGATTCAATATTTCATTCCCTTCGTTAACACTTCTTGAATTTTCACAGAGATATATAAGAAAAAAGAAATTTCAAAGTCGCAATTACGGTAAAAACTACCTTTTGCTCTTTCTGTCACTTTCCATAATTTTTCGTCGGCATCAAGAACAATATAGAGAATTTCCACGCACGGCACCATAGACCTAAGAGTAGAATGGTTATGTTGACGGTGGGGTAAACAAAGCAAAAAGAAATCAAGACTAACAACATATTTTCTTCGACCTACCGAATGAGTGGGCAAAAACCGAAACTCGTGCATATAATGAAAGAAAAATTAAATCAAAAAAAAANAAAAAAAAAGTATGAAATAAAAAAGTAGAAAAGGTTAATAAATAGAATAAAGGATAAAGGATTAAAGGATAAAGTCTTGGGGCGTGAAACAAAATACATCAATCAATTCCGTCTGAGGGAAGCGCCCACACATTCGACTCCCATTCAGAATCGTGGTGGCGTATTGAATGTGTATGTGTTCTATACACTTGAGGTGGTCAGCCGATGTACAAGTCAGTGCTATTATCCTCCCAGACGAGTCTGGTACCAATTAACCCGAAAGGTTGAAAGGCTCCTTTGGCCTAGGCGGATATCGATATCGGTCCGGGATTCGAACCTGTGACCATGCGCGTGGGAAGCATGCCATTTGCCGTTACACCACCTCCGCCCAATAAATATAATAAAAAACTTGATCAAATCAAGAAGTAAACAAAATAAGTACCTTAAGGAAATCACGAGATCACACGCTGTACCAGCACGACAAAGTTGAGCACCCGGCTGTTGTGACAACATTTGTGCACATAGCTCATAGCCTACCTGAAATATCGGGATCAAATACTTGACCGTTACTGTAGAAGCAAAATTGTTCGCCTGGTGAGTGAGGAAAACCGCTACTCAACAGGTTACTCACAAGTTAGGTAAATGTTGAGACCAAGTTTTGAAAAAGTGGCTCTTCGTCATTGTCTAAAAAGGATGCTAATCTTTTCTGCAGGAAGATGTTCCCTAACTCAAACGCTACGGATTAGAAAATAAAGTATGGGGTACGCAGGAAGAAAAGCAAACATAAACCAATTCCGCAGAATTGCTACTTGACTAACTGCAACCTAAAAATAGAAGGGAATAAGATATGGTCGACAATCTAAAAGGACGAGGGACATTAGCAATGGTTGCTTTTATAGTACCAACGCAGACGCCAGCTGGGTATCGATGCTATGAATGCAACCAGTACGAGTTGAACGAAAGAGTTGACTATGTGTAAACTCAAAATCAAGAGAAACTGAGCCTTCAGAAGGGAAATTAGAAAAAAATTAAATAAACCAACCTTAGGCACGTGGAGATCAAACGTATCGTGGTACGAATATAATCTGTCGAGAAACATTCTATCGTCAGATTCCAATTCATTTTCCTGCAATACTCTGCGCAAAATTATCACTTTCAAAAAAATAGCCAACAGGGGGCAAAAGGCTAAGTTCAATAATTTCGCCACCCATGGCTCTGAGCCTTGTGAAATGAAGGCTGAAACATCGCTGACGGGCGTTGAAATAGGATTGTCAAAACAGAGATAATAGTTAAATGAAGAAAATAAGACAAAGTGACTGTTGGTTTACCTTTGTCGGTTTTACTCGATAATCTATTGACAGCCGATGTGAAATAGGCAATTCACCAGCTAAGGGCAACACCCAGACCAGGCTAGAGACCACATTTGGTGTCAATTCCTGAAGTAGAACGAGATCTGGCATTTACTGTGAACCGTATATGCTGCAGAGAAAGGTTTGAATTCTCAGTGGAAGCATACGGCAGCCGCCACGGAACAACGCCGCTTGCCTATGGAATTCGGGGAGAAGTTCCGGGCCCCCGCTAAGAGTAAGCAAAAAGTTCGAAGTTAGGCCCGAGTATGCTACGTCCAACTCTACTTATGGAATAAAAAGTCTAAGATCACGTAAAATCTTACGCCAAGGTCCCTGTTGAGCAGTTTGCCGAGCTGATTAGGTGTTTCCTTTGTCACTGACGAATCTATCGCTTCAATTACGGCATTCTCGAGCACAACAGTCCACTGCTCGGCATGACCAACTGCTCGTGCTATTTCCAATTCGAGTAATGTTCTATGAAATCAACTTCGATTAAGCTGTGATATAACAAGTTGAGATAAAATACATGGAAATGGTGCCATATTACTGGCACCCAATAAAAAACCGCAGAAAAATCAACGAAGCTTTCAGAAGGCATGCCAAATTTTTCGGAATTCTACTCTTACGTCAAGCTCGGACAAGAAAAAAAGCTTACTTATTCTCTAGCATAGAGGTCTTGGACGTCATGATTAGGAGCGCAACGAACGGCAATTCCAGCGACCATACCCTTCCAAACCACTCGCAACTGATCTAAAAATTCATGGAGTGAAAGGTAGAATGAGATTGAAGAACTCAATGTACAATATAAGAGAAAAACGAAATATTTGCTCTAAAAATTTTTTCAAACAAGAAAGCCATGCTGAAAACCTTCGAACTCGAGAATGATGTTATCCACCTGTGTTATCTAATCTCAGTTCAACTACAATTCAAAACACACACCGACCTTGGCTTTACGCACAGCCGGTGAAGCTGTGAAGGCAGAATCCATAAGGAGACATAACGTTAACTCGAAAGTGTGTTTTCCTCCGGGTCCAAGTTGTGGAATTTCAACGCTGACATTTGATGACCACGTCCGATCAGCTCCCTAAAGCCGCAGAACTCATATGGTAGTTTTCGGTATAGTTGATAAACAACAGTTAATAAGCTACAATAGAACAGAAACTGTCCATGAAATCTGTGAAACATGCTTGAGCTAAGCTAAATAGTTGGAAGAAGAATCTCGAAACTGGGTCATTACAGTTTTTCTCCAGATAGGCGTAAAGATGTTTGTCAACAGCGCAATCTACGCTACTCAAGGACGTGGAAACAAATGAGTCTGTTTTGAGTCGTAAGAAAAAAAACATTAGGAAAGTGAGAAAAACGAGTAAAAAGACAGAAAGCATTACAAGAAAAATTGGCAATCGTTAAAGCCTTCAGGATAGTGATTAATGGAAACGGTTGTGGTTTTTGAACAGGAAATCAATCTCAACACTGAGGAATTCAAAATTTCTTTCAAAATTTCAGAATTTCAAAAAATCAAGTTCATCAAAGTAGATTCGTCATGGAAGACTGAAGGATTGGCTTTAATCGATTCCTACTTAGGATGCGTTCATTATTCGAAATTTGCTAGCGGTTGTAATATCATTTGAACGTATGCCTTGGGGAATAAGTTATGAAGGCTACCGACTTTTTCGCCAGCCAGTCCATGTCTATCCTCCTAGATGAATCACGGATCAATTAATCAAGATGAAGATGGAAGACTCGATCGGCCTGAGAATGATTCACCTTGAGATAAATACATGCACCACGCGCCTGTTACCACCAGAACATTTCGCTCGACCACTTCTGCTCATATTCCTCTCACCGTTCTACATTACTTGATATCTCACCTCCCTCAACAAGATCACAGCTCGAAGTGACAACCCAGTGACGAACATTTCCCTCCTTATATTGGGTTGAATAGCCCAAGCCTTGCACCTCTTCCAGTGAGGATGCGCCACGTTACTCATTGTTTGCAACCTTTCTCTTATTCTAGTTAAGGCGGCGGTGTACTGAAGGGACAGGACCGAAAACTGTAGGCCCATGGGGCAACTTTGGGTGCAAGCCCAAAATAAGCTCACTGTAAGCTCATTACAGTATATCTATAAATGTGTGAACTGTATTACAATGCTGACAAAACATCAATTTCACTTGCTGCCAACCAATTAGGGCGTGCGATAAAGGTTGGGTAGAAAAAGGAATCTACAGTCATACTCTTGCCCATCCTCTTTTCTGTGTACAATCTCCTGCATACGGTAAAGCGGATGACTTGGATGTTCGACTAGGCGAATT